TGGAAAATAAAAATGCAGTTGGGTAGGCGGTTAATAGTACCTTTCATAATTCAGTGAGCTACTTTGACTATCATGACCAGCATCCGTTTTATGAAGTTTCCATACATGTCATTCATCCCAGCGTTAACTAACAGGAGAGCCATACATCAATCTAACCACCTTATAAATATAACATTAGAGAATATTTAGTTGTGGGTTCATTCGTCTTATGGTGTCAAAATCACATTTTGTTGATAAACACCTTCTTTCAATTGAATTTACCAGTTAAACAATGAACTTGAATCAACGATTTCCACTTCATTTTCAACTGATTCCGCGTTTTTCATCACCAATGTAGCAGCAGCCTCTGCAGCAGCAGTAGGTCTCAACATACATAAAGGAAAAAGCGAAATTCTCCGACGCAACACAACATGCACCAAACAAATCACTCTTGATGGAGATGCCTTGAAGGACGTTAATGCCTTTACATATCTGGGCAGCATCATCGACGAGAAAGGTGGATTCGATGCAGATGCGAGGACTCGGATTGGTAAAGCAAGGGCTGCATTTCTACAATTGAAAAATATCTGGAACTCCAAACAACTTTCAATCAAAATCAAAATCAGGATTTGCAATACAAATATCAAGACAGTTCTACTGTATGGAGCGGAAACTTGGAGAACTACCAAAGCCATCATCCAGAAGATACAAGTGTTTATGAACAGTTGTCTACTCAAAATACTGAGGATTCGTTGGCCAGACATCATCAGCAACAACGTACTGTCGGAAAGAACAAAGCAGATTCCAGTGGAGGAGGTAATCAAGAAGAAGTGGTGGAAGTGGATAGGACACACATTACGCAAAGCACCTGAGTGCGTCACGAGACAAGCCCTCACATGGAACCCTCAAGGCAAACGGAAAAGAGGAATGCGAAGGAACACATTACGCCGAGAAATCGAGAAAGATATGAGAGGAATGAACAAACATTGGACAGAACCGAAGAGTGAAACCCAGGACAAAGTTGGTTGGAGGAAACTGGTGGACGGCCTATGCTCCATTGTGGGTAACAGGCGTAAGTAAGTAAGTAAGCAAGTAAGTAAGCGTTTTTCATAATTTCTACTTTATTCAACTACAAACTACAAATAAAACAGTAATAATCATGGTTGAAATCATCTTTTAATTTTTAAAAAAATTGTAAAATCTTCATTGTGTTTTTTCTTTAAATAAAAGAACAAAATATATATACATATATTTTAGATAATCAGACAAGTGAACCATTGTTTGTCTGTTCATTCACTAGCTTACAATGTTTTGATTTGTTTCAGTCAGTAAAGGATGATGTGAAAATTATCATAAAAAAACTCAAGCTTCTTCTATTCATATACAGATTGAATAAACAATAGGATAATAAAAATATTACTACTAATAATAATACTAGTAGTAATCAAACTTGATCAAAATATTTTTAGTATTACATTGTGTCAACAAAATTTGAAAAGAATTGTTCATAGTACTCAGGTTTTATTTTTATTGAAACTAAAAATAAAATCATCTCTGCAGAGAATGAAACTGATTTGATTTCATTGTGTAATTTAAAATTTATTGTTATTTTATTTGGCATATATATATATATATATATATATATATATATATATATTCAATAAGCATTCTCGATATTTTTTTTTAGTTCATTGTTATATTACTGAAATGATGTTTTCAGTAGAGCAAGAGAGATAGAGTGAATAAGTGAGATAGGGAGAGAGAGAGAGAGTAAGCTAGCTAATCATTGAAAAGTGTTCAACAACTAGAAAAAATTCAGTATTCTCTAACAACATACATATATGCAGATAGAGTGCATATATAACATAATGATAAAATTAATTCCTACTGATGACAAAAATACCCCTATACCTTTTTAATGTTGAACAAGTATGCTGATATAACTGAGCTCAATTTTCAGGAAGATTTATTAGAAAAAAAACATATAAAAAATGTTCTTAGATGAGAAACTTGGCAAATAAACAATTTCATGATTACAGCTAATTCGAAAAACACACATTTGTTCTTATTTATGATTTTATTCTGATGAAGGCACATGAAATTTTCCCCTGTAAACTAATTAAAAACACTAGAAATTATTTTTATCCATAAAAACTAAATGACAAACAATATTTTTATTTTGAAACCATGAATCCATCAATGTTAAACCACCATTAGAAACCTGGAAGCACTGGATGACGGCCGTTTCGTCCTGGTATGTAACATAACAATCTTCACAACAACCCTGTAATGCAAATTACCTGTGCTCACTAGTGAGTGACTAGCTTCGTATGGGATCTTCTCCGAGTTCTAGTGTGAAAAAGACGTGACCAGTAAAGTTCAACCTGTTCGGGTGTAGACTGTGTATGAGGTTGAGCAACTTTGTGAATCGATCAAGTTAGACACTAACAACGTTAGATACCGGCTCAGTGGTACGATGGTTAGGCGTTCGCGCACAATACCGAAGGTCCTGGGTTCGAACCCTGCACGGTGCAGGAGTCGTGGATACACACTGCTGAGGAGTCCAATACCAGGACTTATCGGTCGTCCAGTGCTTTTTCAGGTTTCTAATGGTGGTCTAACATTGATCGATTCATGGTTTCAAAAATGTGTAACTTAAAAATCTTCACAACCCCGTAATTCAAATATTTTTTTTGTAGTAGTCATATTTTTCCCATTTTAAAATGATTCTCTATATATATATATTTCTCACGAATAATTTTTCAAATGTAACCGATTGTAATAACTAAATGGTAGTTAATAGATGAAAATTCAGTAGAAACTGTTACGCTCTTCACTAAGTATGCTTGAGGCTATTACGAGTTTACCTTAGTCGATAAACGCGAACGAGACAATGAACCAGAGTCCAAGTAGGCTACCTTGAATCCCCAAAGCGAGTAAAAAGGCTTTGTAAGCGTAGAAAGTATATTCTACAAACACCCAGCAATCACACAATACAATCAAACACACAACTCTCGTTTATTTATACATCATAGAAACGTCCTAGTGGGACAGTTACGAAAATAGCATACTAAAATACACAGCAGCCAATCACAGCCATGGATTTTCCTGATGGGAATTGAAATCTCAAGGTCAACTGATCAGCCCATGCTCGTAAACGTAAAAACCAAAATAAGGCATTTATGAAGCGAGTTCTGGGGATCTAACATCCCCAACACTCCTCCCATTTTTTAATAGCGTGTTCTCCTCGGGTCGACCTGCATCTTGACTATCGTTCGCCGCTGTCTGAGAGGACACATTCGGGGACGAAGAACAGCTTGCTGCTGATTTTCTTCTCGTGGCGGGGCTGCCGGTAGGTTGAAAGTATCAAGCAGGATGTCAAGGGGGATCTAACATCCACAACAGAATCATTGAAAATTAATTCACACAAATTCACTTAGTCAAGCTCCAGCTTCCGGATTATCTTTTCTTTGAGCTCAGTGATACAGTGAAATGGTAAGTGTATTTGTTATGAATTACATAACTAGAAATGGAACTCTGATAATAATCAGGAAACTTATATCATATTATCTATCTTAACGATAGAACTCAACTTAGTCCTGCTCTAGGTAACTTTTAATTTTAAATAGAGACTTGGAAGAACTTAGTCCTCTTGAACGGTCAAATTTGATTTGGGCAGTCGCCTGAAGTTATGTATCTTGAATCTCGTTCCGTTGTCGTGCCTCCACATATATTCCAGTTCGCTTACATCTAACGTGGTTAAGCCCTTTAGACTGATTTATTTAATCAAGCCATTTGTATAGAAACAACTAATATGTACCATTTGTTCTTATTATTGTCTGGTTTGTGAGAGCTCACATGACATGCCCCACTTGTCATTTGACCTTGTCAACTATTCGTCGCTTTTATTCATGTGTGCCTATTTCGCTTGTTGCATGTGTGTCTTATATTTGTCTGACTATATATTCTTAGTCACGCTCTATCTCCTGGGAGTTGGCTCATTAGCCTTCTCCAGCATGCTTCGCCTGTTCATTCGCTTCCTTCGCCTAATTCGTTCGCATTGTAATCCTAGGAGTCGGCTCAACAGCCTTCTTCAATTCACGTCGTTTCGTTCGTTTTATTCACATTGCTTCTGCGCTTCGCTTTGTGGTATATCCCAAATAAGCGTATTTATCACTTCGAGTTCACCTTCTGATTTATAAATCGTCAGACGCTATTTAGTAACGATTGTCTGGACGACCTAATGACGAAGCATAAGAGAACACGTCGAAATGTGACACACGACACCGTGAACAATAATAATTAGTTTACTGTTTATCAAAATTGAACGAGAACTCTTTTTATCCGCATGAAATTAACACATTTTTGTTTACTAAATAAAAAAAAAGATTGGGTTACTAATTTTCACTTGGCAATAACAGTTTTATTTTAATTTTCAGAAAAAAGTAGCTGAATCCCTTTTTTTAACAAAATTTGAAACGAAACAATTGTACGTTGTTGTGATTTTTAGTAATCTTTAGAGCCAATCAATATTAAACATCTTTGATTTTGAGATTATCAAATCAAAAAATAAGTGACATTTAGAAAACACATCTTCTAATACTGTGGTGCGAGCTACTTATAAGTAGTATATGACGTGAGTGTCAACGTAATGTCTGTTGGCAGCAGAAGATGAGGGAAGATCAAGAAAGGAAGAGTTAGAAGAACACAATGGAATTTGTATGAAACGCATGAATAGTGACAATGGATTGATGTTTTGCAACAGGAACAGTTCAGTTCGATATGATGATGAACTGATATTTTGCAAATTAACAACGATTTACGATATGGTTTTTCATATTTTACTGAGTAACAACTCTGTAATTTTCGTTAAATACAATTCGGTTGCCCTCACCTGTGTTCTCCTTCACTACAATACAATAAGGCGATGAAATACACTTTTTTATTCAATCATCAAAGTACAATAATGCTTACTATGAATCGACAATTTAACGTAAATAAACAAACCGAGAAATTGACACTTAACAATCAAAATAATAAATACAACATTTTAAAGATAAAACTATAATAATTTTCTTTTCTTAATCAATTTCTTGCTTCCGGGAATCCAAATTTTAAAAGAGCACCAAATTCTTCACAATCTAATCGCTGATCATCATCGATTTTTATTGTATCCAATAAAAGTTGAACTTCTTCTCGACTAGTTTTATTAAATATTTTCGACATACGAAATGCTATTTCATCAGAATCCAAATAACCATCACCATTACGATCAACAATTCTGAAGAAAATAATAACAATGAGCACTAATTAATGTATGAATGAAATTGACGACATGTTAAACTATCTATCGATCAACGTGACTATAAATCTGTTGATTGAAAAACTTTGAATCGATCAGTGTTAGATCACCACTGGAAACCTGAAAGCACTGAAAGACGGCCGTTTCATCCTGATATGGGACTTCTCAGCGGCAGTGCGCATCCACGACTCTTGCACCCTGCAGGATTTGAACCCGGGACCTTCGGTATTGTAGGCAAACGCCTAACCATCGGACCACTGAGCCGGTATCTAACGGTGTTAGTGTCTAACTTGATCAATTCACGGAGTTGCGCAACCTCATACACAGTCTTCGGCAGTGGTTTCTGTCTACACCCAAACAGGTTGAACTTCACTGGTGACATCTTCCCACTAGAACTCGGAGAAGATTCCTTACGAAGCTAGTCACTCACTAGTGAGCACAGGTAAGCACATGTAAGTAAAACGCAACTTTTTTTTTCTAATTTACCATTACTTGACAAAACGTTGTATGAATCTCACAAAAATTTTAAAAATACACCGCCCTTATGTACAGTAATAGTATTACCATTTAAAAAAGTACTTCAAAATACTATGATTCTTGTTACTCACTTAAATCAGTTATGACAGCTAGTGACCATTTGTCTGTAAACTTTTACAATAGTTTAAGAGTCAACTATCTCTAACATGGTTCCTCAAACATACATCATCATTTTTTAAAGATGTTCATACATACTATTCATTGTTTATATTCCTTGCGTCATATATCGAAACTGTTGTGGTGCGAGCTACTTATAAGTAGTATATGACGTGAGTGAAAACGTAATTTCTGGCAGCAGAAGATGGGGCAAGATCAAGAAAGGAAGAGTGGGAACACAATGGAATTTGTATGAAACGCATGAATAGTGAAATGTCAGGCAGTGGATTGATGTTTTGCAAATTAACCGTTTACGATATGGTTTTCTTATTTTACTGAGTAACTCTGTAATTTTCGTTAAATACAATTCGGTTGCCCCACCTGTGTTCTCCTTCACTACACTGGTTAACAGTCCATTTACACCAAGACAAAGAAATCTTCAAACCTACACTTCAAAGAAGCGATTTCTTTATTTTCAATTTCCTCACTTAGGATTGTGTTAAACAGGTATAATATTTCATAAGAAGCCATCAACACACGCTTCTGGCAGTCGCTTATTCAAATACGAATTTGAGTTCGCATAGAACTGCAGACTTATGTAGACGACTAATACTGACATTTCATTTCTAACCAACTAAATCAGAAATCAAATTTAACTCAACACTTGGATTTATTAGTTAGTTCTATGTATTATCATGTCCCAAGTTGGCTTTATATCTTCATTTAATTCTAAATTCTTGGTTGGATATCTTTCTAATCTATATTCGTTTGTCTTTTTAATAATCTTACATAATTATTCGTCTGAATTATCAACTTTTAAAACGCCTAGATTACTTTATAATTCAAACATACTTCAGTATATCACAGTTCATGTCAGTTTTGATTCAGAATAGATCTGTTGTACTGTGGTTGTGTAGACCACATTTTCACACTAGGACAGGTCCTGGAACACAGACAAACATTTAGGCGTCCTACAATAGTTGTCTTCCTGGACCTTAAAGAGGCACTTGACTCTGTGGATCGTGAGGTTCTGTGGCAGTGTCTGTCATCGAAAGGTGTACCAAAGAAGTACATTAACCTTATACAAGCTCTCTACTCGAACACCACTGGTCGAGTGAGAGCTTATGGCGAACTGTCATCGGAATTCTTTACTTCAAGTGGTGTCCGTCAGGGATGTCCACTCTCTCCATTCTTGTTTAATTTTATCATAGACATGCTCCTAGATAAAACCTTATCCTCGTCTGAATTTTCAGGAGTAGACCTATTACCAGGAGTCTCGCTAGTTGATCTAGAATAGTCCTACTTGGTGAAGACGCTGACAAAATGCAGAGTATTCTGACCACCCTAAGCAACAATGCAAACATGTTCGGGATGCGGTTCTCACCCTAAAAATGCAAATTGTTGCTTCAAGATTGGGTTGCATCGGCACCTGAACTAGTGATAGGGAGTGAAGTAGTCGAACGTGTAGACCACTTCACTTATCTGGGGAGTCTCATCAGTGCTGATGGCCTGGTGACTGACGAAATCTCAGCTCGGATACAGAAGGCTCGATTGGCTTTTGCCAACCTGCGTCACCTGTGGCGCAGGCGAGATATCCGTTTGCTAACCAAAGGACGGATGCGAGACTTGGCCGTTAAGAGTAGAGGACTTCCGTAGGTTACTAGTGTTCGATCATCGATGTCTCCGAAGTATTGCTCGTGTATCCTGGGACAACCGTATAAGCAATGCTGTCGTCAGAAAACTAGTTCTAGGTAGGGATGCCAAATCAATAGATGAAGTATTGAAACCTCATCAGTTGAAGTGGTTATGACATGTGTTACGTATACCTAACCACCGACTGCCACGACGAGCTATGTTTTGCAGTGTAGGAGTAGATTGTAAGAAAGTTAGGGGCGGCCAAATCAAACACCACACAGATCCATGAAGTCACCGACAAGTGGACTGAGTCATGTTGGTAGATGTAGGCTGTCTGGTTGGGGTCCGCGAGATGGAAGACACCGATGGTTAGAGACCTTGAATGACATGGCTCAGAATCGTTTGCAGTGGCTCAGGTGCATCCACTCTTTGTGTTCTATGAAATTCTAAGCTTCTGCATTCCTCATCATCTCTACCTTTCTCCTTCTAAATTTATCTTACTGAATTATACTTCTCGAATCATATCTTTGCTCCCTAATCTTCTCCATTTCTGCTAATACTTCTATTATTGCTATCACTCTTGGATTTGAACTGACAATTGCTTGTCTGTGCTGATGGGGCATGGCAATCTGAACTGATGTACACGTATGTACGAAGTTGTGCGTTGTATCTGTCTGTCTATTATGTTATATCTGTAAATGAGTTGCGTAATCTATCTAATACTGCATTGTGGTAAAATAGCTAGATAATACGGCAAACCGATCGTCTCCGTCGATATTGAGGTAACCTGTTTTAGAGCATTTACACCAAACTATAAATTCTTCACATTCATTTAGGTCCGATCAACCTAGAGAGAGAAGTTTCTAATCTCGAATCCGCTGATTGCCGAAAACCAAGATTCTACAATTGCGGAACACTTTTCAGATTTACTATCATCTAATGGCCTGGGAAAGGTCCATTTGCGGTTCTTCACTAGGTACTGAGAAAAATAAAGTCCTGACATCCATAAGAGTCATCAAGATATGACTGAATCCGCTCCACAGCCCTAAAACTATGTATGGAAGTCACGAGAACACAGATTAGTAAGCTTTTTCAGATTACCGCTATTTACAGGAATTCAAAAGAATAGCAGTCTACCCTCTCCCCAATTTTAAAAGGAAGGGGTATTTAGAAACCTTTTCTGGTACAGATCAGTCGTACTGCTCACAATGGTTCTGATACAATGGGAGGACTAGTCAGTGACTGAATGATGGAACTCATGGACAAAATCAACCTTCTTTCATGAAGCTCAACACATGTTAGAAAAGGGTGGTCTTGAGTACCTTACCCTTTTATGGTATGAGAAAGTTGTAAAACGTATTATTAGTGAAAAATATTGGCCCATGAAGCATTCTTTGAATCTCTAAATTATGTGAAATTACCACACTCATTCATCATGCATAGTTTGCAAGGATGAGTTCCGCCGGTCCAGTTCTATCCTAGCTCCAAAATTAACTGGAAAACTGGATGTCCATCGTAAAGATACATAGATTGCTTACGACCAGAAGAGTCTCAATACCACTAGCTTCATAAAAACCGTTTTATTTCAGCAATCATTCGTCTTCTCACAGTGTGATACAGGGCTATTAACCATATAAGTCTGAACACTTACTCAAACTACATTGGAGATGTAAATAAAGCAAATACAACTCTTAATTTTATGCGCAAATAACTGCACAAAATCAGCATACAGTCGTTTCTGACACTGCTTTTATTATAATCACACTTCAATCTGCTTACAACGTCTGTATTTCCAACTAACCGCCAATATCTAATATCTAATTCTACATATTTACTTCACTCTGCTTATACAAACTTGACACTAAGATACTACGTGCACTTAGGATTCTAGTATATTAAACGCTTATCACAGACTGAGTCGCAATGATCTACATATAGAAAAATACAAAGTTTATGTATAAATGCAAACCGAAAGAGTGTCTTAACCGGTTGATTCTCTCCAAGATTGTCCAGAGCATGACCTAGAAGTTCGACAAATTGTGAAAACCTTATAGAACCCCCATGATCCGATAAACCATCAACAACTGCCTGTTGGGAATATAATTATCATTATTCATGTGTAATTTTACTGAAATACTGTCCACACTACAAGCTATACCAAGCGTTGTAAGCAAGTAGGATATATCTTCCACACCCAAAATTCCATCTCCATCCTTGTCAATATGCTTGAAAGCTTGAGATAGATCAGTGTACAAAATATTAGGAAGTGAACCTTTTTCGACCATTTAACTTGAGCGATCCTCCGAAACTATAGTAATCAAGGTCGGAAATGCAATCTCCAATATCCAATATCTATTCGCGAGATAGTATAAACGATTCTTGTTCTTTCGGTACGGTTACAGGTGTTTGGTAGTGTTCAGTGGATGTAATTCTAGCCACTCGACTGTCTAATTCTCGTCAGTTGGCAGTTGCTTGTCAGTTTGCATGTCCCGTGATTTGAATCCAATATCTATTATCCTATATTTTTTTCACGAGCTAGTGTAAACCAATTTGATTTCTTCGCGCTCGATTCTTGTTCTTTCGGTACGGTTCCAGGTTTTCGGTAATGAAAACGTTTATTTCAGAGCAGCAGGTTTTCTGGATACCAGCCCTAATCACATTACCAGACCGGAGATCAGTTAGTTGCCATGTTTATGATGAAAACGGAATTTTTATAATGCTTATAAGAATAAGATTTCAGAACTAAGTAAATAAACGAACTTTCTAGTTCATTGGTTGGTAGTGACCGCACCGAGTTGTATAGTATAAAGTCCTCAATATAGTTCAAACTGTGGATTAACGGAACACTTTGTTTAATATATAGTCATGTTTGTGACTATTTGCCAGCCATCGCTTATAATGATAAGTTAGATTTGGACAACCAGTAATATTTCTGATTTAAGTATATTTCTTGAAAACCATGACCTATTTCGAAATGATAGGTTACAAGGAACAGGTGGAAGATATCTTATATATATGCCCACTCTAGCTTAAACTTACACTAATAAGTCGGAAATAAACAAGGTACAAGATTGTGTGTGGATCGTTTTGAAACAGGCATATTTTATCACAAGATGAGTAATATCTCTTAGAAGGTCAAACCCTTAGGACTATAGAGACCAAGGATTTCCAAGCATTTACAGATGGCAGATTATATACGAAAACATCTTCCAAGACATGCTTCCAAAATTCATAGCCTTAATCAATTCTTCCTATTTATGATGACAGAAAGATCTTTCGAGGCAGAGGTAAAACGTACCAATAGGGAATCGAACAGACCAAACATGATGTCGAGCTGAATAATAAATCCTAAGCACCAATTAAAATCCTTTGAAATAGACTTGAGTGCTCTATAGTGAAAGCAGGGAGAGTATTTACTAAGGCCTACGAAGCCTATGAAGACCATTAACGTGTCACTTTTGTGCTTCATTAACAGATGAAAACCCAGTGAATGATTCGGCACCAACCCCAGTACCTCCCTGTGAAATCGCCAGTGTATAAAATATTTCTTAGAAAGTCAGTACGTTCAACCATTCTTAGAATAAACGACCAGATGGTATCCCAGCTAGCATGCTCCAAAATGGGAGCAATGATACCTGTGTTATACTTTCCAAACCATTTACTATATCACTATCCACAGAGTGTAACCATTAAAATTGAAAGACTACACAAATCATCCTTACCATGAAATTTCTGCCTGCAGTAAATGTTCAGAACTACGGACCCCTGAGCATTACCTCAGCAGTATTTAGAGTGACGAAAAAAGTATTAAAGACTGATAATATAACACTTAATTGATAGAAATCTAAAATCGACCCTACGGCACAAATTCTTGAGGTCCACGTCAAGTGATACATGGATACTAGATCATCCCAATAATGTCACGCACAAAGAAGACAAAGAGCTCTTAATACCAGTCCTTATCTTCGACTACACGACAGATTTTGATAAAGTCTCACAAAAAAGACTGCTCGTCAAATAATAGCACCCAGAATCAGCAACCCACTACATTTGTGGTTAGTTTCATTCGTAGATGAACGCTAACAAATAGTAAAATACGACGATTACCTTTTATAATCAACACCAATGACCAGTGATGTTATTCACGGAAGTCAACTAGGTTCACACTTGTTTCTTATGTGCATACACTATACATGTAAAACCATCAAATTTGGCAGATCGAATTTGAATGATCTCCAAATGGTATAAAATGAAATGATTTCACTTTTATGAAGAGCATGCCATTGCATAAATAGCAACACTCGTTATTTAACCAATTGTACCGAACATTCAGTTTATTCGTACTTTTTTAAAGCACCTTCCTACTTCGTAGTCGCCATCTTGCTTTTGTTGCTCCAAACCTTCGCTCATTTCTCAGGTAGGTTTCGATGTACTTAGAATGCCACGAAATCGGCAGCATATACACTTATTTAGTCTAGACTATTGCGTTTATTCGCTCTCTCCAAAAACAAGATAAACAATACGATTCTGAAGGGAACCTAATTGATTTATAGATGTTTTCATAGTCTTTCGACTCCGATGTTTACATTAATAAGAATGTTCTGGTGAGAAAAATCGATTACAGTTGATTCAACTACAAAATATTCACATAATCTATATATATATATATATATATATATATATATATCAGTTCATATTAATAAAGCTTTCATCTACGCTTCGCAATTAAGAAAAAGTATACAGTAACGAGAGTAATTAACTAAAGCGACAATGAATAGTGTTGAGCAAAACCTCATACTGATCGGAAATATAAATTAACACAGCTAGACACCGGTCTAGAGGTCAAGAGGTTACGTGTTCGAGTGTGAGACGGAGTTCGAGGTCCGATTTTCACAAGCGAAGGTTGTGAATGCGCACTACTGATTAGTCAAACACTAGAAAGAAACAATCATCCAGTGCTTACAGATAGTTCTAATGGTGGTCTAACAACGGTTGATTCATGATTTCAATGTTAAACAACAATCTACATAACTGTTTGATGAACAACCATCATTTGTGCAAATGCTTACTGTAAGCAGTTCGACAAATCACCTGCAAACTGAAAGTATAACTGCCTTATTTATCCAAACATTGACATACGTTTCACGCCCTTGTCATTGGGCTTTATACTACCTATCAGTTAAAAGCTAGGTTTCCCTGATAATCAGATAGACAACAATCACTTTATGTATCGGAAAATGTTGCACAATATATTGCCTTTATTGGTAGTATAAAGGCTGCATTGATTTCAAAACTCAATTTTCATCAAGATTATTTATATTTTTTAACTCAGTTCATACTCTGGCTGAGATTGCATTCTCACTACTTTCCTACTCTCCACATATAAGTGCTAGTTCGAATAACTAGTTCACTATATTATAATCAAAACACTGAGATTAGAGCATGTCTCTCATGACTACACTCATTTCGAAACAATTGTCATCAGTCATTCATACGGAATTCACGAAAATATTACCAATATCATTTGAATAAGTGGGAATTTGTTTTAACAAGAGTTTATAAAATAAGAGGATACAATTATACTTGAGCAAGCCTAAAGTGTCTGTGAATAGAGGTAACTAACAATGAAAATCTTACAATAGATTAGGACAGCGTTTTTTTAAGTGAAGTTTATCTTTAACTCTAGACAAATATAAGCCAACATCAAAGTCTCGATTTTCATTGCAAATGTCAAGACACTTATACTGGAGAGCCTTCATTCACAAGATACAGGTGTTTGTACACAGCTGTTTGTGAAAGGAACTGCGGATCCTTTGGTCAAACCCCATTAGTAACAACCTACCGTGAGAGAGAAAAAACCAACCTACATTTGAAGAAGAAATCAGGAAAATCCGTTAAAGGTAAATAGACACATTAGGGAAACCACCAAACTGTTTCACAAGGCAAGTCCTTACTTGGAATCCTCAAAGCGAAAGGAAAAGAGGTAGACCAAAGAATACATTATGCCGAGAACTATAAACGGACATTAAAAATAATGGAATGCAGTAAGTCAGAACAGGAAGGAAGGCCTAGGACAGGATGCATATCAATTGCCTTTGCTCCATGAGTGGAACAGGAGTAAGTAAGTGAGTATTGTAAGTGATCCACTTTTTTAAAGTGAACGCGATTGGTTTAATAGAAAAATTCGTTATTGTAACCAGTTGTACCAGTGATTGTTTAACACCCATGCCAGTTTTCTTAGTTTGGTGTTTAAGAATATTAATTTCGTCAACAGCCTACTTCTACAGTCATTGTCGTTTGTGGTATATATTATGCCTGGTCATGTTTCAGGTTCTAGTTCAGTTGCAAAGCAACAACTAAGAAAACTAGCCTAGGCCGAAAATGTAGGAGCTATTAGAAAGTCTAAATCCTAGTTTCTGGCAAAAGAGGCATGGAGTAGCTCAAAAAAATACTGGATAGTGAACGTTGAAGTAAAGTGTACAACTGGAATGACGTGATCAAAACACATCCACTGTGTTTCCAGCTATGAAATCAGATCAACTTTCTCATTTGGAATCCTACTCTCAATGAGACTATTGGGCAAAAGCGAAATAGGAAAAAGAAAGTGCTTGAACTTCAATGACGCGGTCTACTGTTCGGAAAGGATACAGTAACGATAACTATTTCGCTTGCTGATGACCAGTTACAAACAGCAGCTTTGCAGCTACTGGGTTCACTAAACTTGTGATTCTGCTGTACCTATACAGTCTTATGGGTTCATGTAAAAACACCCTTTCCTGCTGTTTTGATATGTTGGCTCGCAGTGACGATACAATAGACCTGCAAAAATCACAAAAAGGGAACGTTTGAGTTTTCACTGAAAACAAACCTATCAATCCCTGCTAGTATACCAAGCTGTCTTAACAAATCATCGACTTAAAAATATACGATGGCAGCCGAAACACGAGCTCGAATGCCAGCAAAATAACTGGCAATGTAAATAACCCAGTTCCTAGTTACAGTAAGGAGAAGTATGTGAGAGATAGGGAGGGAAATGGAAACAATATAGTCAACAAGATTCTACACATTAGGTATGAAGAAGTTCAGAGAAATTCTTGAATTTTATTATGTGTTTCACTATCTAAGGGTTAGTGGCGCTTCCCTATAGGCTAAAATGTAGCAAAAGGTTACATATGCTCTCCATTGGGTATAGGGATCATGATTCTAACTAAAACTTCCCCATATCCCGAAATCGCCGGTAGCAAAGTAGATCTTTAAGACGTGGTGATGTTCTTATGCATTAGGATACACAAGGTAGATGTAGTGGCGC